TTCACAAAGCAAATAATGTTTTTGATTATTACTGAGATTGTCCGCTAACCTAAGATATATTCTCTTCTTTTACAAATTGTGTTCAAAAACTATTGAAATATTCATTAAAAAAGATAGGTTAGTAATAAAATATACTCATTTCATATAATCTCTCTCTCATTTCAAAAGAGTATATGCAAATAAATATTTGAAAAGACAACATATTACAGAATACTTCCCTATTAAAATGTAATTTTGGTTCCTAACTAATGTACCATTATCGATATTGACATGAATGGAAGGGCTATGTAGTAATAAAATAAAACGGTCTTTTCTCTCAAGTAGAGCTGCAATTCTGATGGGAAAATAAATCACTTTGTAAACAGAATAAAAGGGAATCGAAAATTTAAATTCTATTTATAATTATTTCTTATATGCGTTCAATTTGAAATTGACTTGAAAAATTTGAATTGATAGGAATTTTCATAGCAAGCTTTTATCTAATTAATGAAGTTTGTTTACTTTTTTGAGACCAATTTAGCTGTTTTTTCATGAAAGTTTGCATTACATACTCAATTTTTGTTTAGAATAATTCCAAATTTAAATTTTATATAAGGTATTAAAATTTATTAAAAAGGCATCTCCTTATCGTGTAACTGGATGTTCCTGATGGCTTGCGCCATCTATCGGAATAAATATCAACTATTCTCGTTGATTTCTAATTATTCTAGAATTGTACAATTAACCATTATTGATTAATCAAGAAAAGCTAATCAGGTACGCATTTCGGCTTGTTGGCCCTCATCAGCGTGGTGTAAGCTGTACCCCAACGACCGAAAAACTGGTCCTTCGGGCATCTTGAAAAATCATGAAACGGGTAGTTAAGGCCAGAATTTTCTGAGACCGCGACACAATGTGAAAAGATAGTACAAATGTGAAATTGTACTGGGATAAGGTGCATAAATTATGAAAAAAAAATCTCCTTATTGTGCAACTGAAAGTTCTGATGGCTTGCGCTATTTATCTGAATAAATATTAACTATTTTCGTTGATTTTCTTGAATAATCAAGAATGGGTAATTGGCCAATTCTGGAATAATTAGAAATCAACGAGAATATTTGATATGGCGCAAGCCATCAGCAACTTTCAGTTGCGCGATAAAGAGATGCCTTTTTTATAATTTATGCACCTTATCCCAGGACAATATCACATTTGTACTATTTTTTTCGTATTTAAATTCGTAAATATAATAATTGATTTAGAGAAACTAAATATTTTATTTTGAAGTTGTTGGGATATTTATATTCAGCATAAAAGAGAAAGCTTAATGTGAGAGAGTCTTTTCATGCTATAACTATTCATAGAATCGATTTTTTATAAGATTCAACATTCGAATAAAAGACAACACATCTCTTGGATAGAAAAAAAAGTGTTTATATTGTTTGATATATTTTGACGATAAGATCGTTTCATCTTCGATCTTTCAAAATATTGCCACGTGGAAAATTAGGGAAGACCAACTTCGGGATGAGACAACAATTTATTTCAGGCAATAAAAAAACTATGAGTGACAAACAAAAGATAAGTAAAAGAAGGAAGTGTACAGAGTATAGAAATTATAAACATTAAAAATAATACTCTGCTAATAAAATAATAAATACTTGTTACACAATATTTTGAAGAAAAATGAAAGTTACGATCGTAAAAATATCATGCAATAAAAAGACATTCTATTTTTAGGTTCAAAATGTTTCTTTTTCTATTTGAATAGATATATATATCCCTGAATCGATATACGTTCGCTCTTGTTTAATATGAATAGTTTCTTCAAATTAGACATAATTGTACAGTAAAGAATATTTTTACATTATAAATTTGAATTTCACATTCATTCCATAAAGGTATCGAATAATTTAAATAAGGCGAGCATGGCTAGATTTCACAATTATAAACTATTATAAATAAAAAAGGAATTCCACTGAAAGATGTGATGTTGCCTTTGCTGGAATAGGAATAGTATAATAGAATAATAGATAGAATGAGGATAAAATATATAAACGGTTATCGCCTTTTAGCGACCATGCAGATCTTTTACTTAAAATGATTCACAGTAGTAAATCTTTTTTTTTAGCTACAAAAAATCTAAAAGTAACATATTTTACTATTGTTTTATATACACTCGAGGACAAAACTTAAAGAAGTGGAAAGTGCAGGTCGACAGCTTTTTTAAAGAGACAGAGCCAATTTTGTTCACACTTTTTGTCTCGTGGGTCTTCAAAAATGGCCACTGTGTATCAAATATCTTTCAAAGTTATTGTCTGAATCCCGATATAGATTCTGAAAGGTTTAATTTCCTTATGTTTTTCAAATGAATGTATTTGACCCATCTATTTCATTAATAGAATCAATATTTGAATCAACATAAATATCGTATAGAGAGGCTACACATGGCCTAATACCATAGTATTCAGTTAGACTTATATATAAGTAAGTCGAAGCTTGTTTTTACACCTATTATCTTCAGGTTCAAATAATTTCAAATTGATGTATAATCATAACGTATTTGTTATTAAAATATTTCTAAATACGTTAATTAGAATGGGGAGAGGCACTTTTTTACACATAAAATATATTTATGGCTAGCGTTATATATTATTATAATATTAATATCTTATTATATATATTGAATATAAAAAATATCGCAATTTTTATATGACAATGTTATATTTAATTGGGTGAAATTCACATCGAATCCTAATGAGCTGATAAGCTCGCTATACAAGCCCCTCTATTTATGCCCAAAATTTAGTCAAATATTTAAAAATATACATTGATATTAATAAGATAGGGGTAATACATTTCTATCTTTATAAATACCATTAAATAAATATAGGTTATTTTGTAGAGATATATATTAGTAAACATTACAAATAATGACAAAATATAAATTGTTAGTATTATAAAGTTAATGTCGTATGCTTTAATAAAATTAGATTTGCCTCGATTTTTCAAACTAAAACCTAATGCACGAATTTAAGAAATAAATCACTTCATTTTTATCCTACTGTGTGGAATATTCTTTTCCACATTTTATGAAGTAAAAAAAAACGGGAAATAAAAACATTCTTGAGAGCGAACTATTGTTTTTAGGACGTGGAGAAACTATAAATGGTGGCAGGGTAGAATGATCATTGTTGGACGTTAGACCAAATAAAATATATATTTTGTGAGAATGTGTTCGGGATAAAACGTAATGGATTCATAGAATATATTTATAAAAACTATATATTTTCATATATTTGGAAATATATATTATCACCTTTTTTCTAATTTATTCTGAAAATAGTATTGGTTATATTTTATGAATAATGCATAAAAAGACAAAAAACGTTTTTCCTAATTCATTTGACGTCTAAAATATAATAGATTTGTTTGAAAAAATATATTTTCTCTATATTTCCAAATAATAATCAATATAATATATTATCTTTTTGAAATTTTGGAACTATAATATATTTGTATCAATGTTGTTTTATTTTCTTACTTATACTATTTTATTTGTAAAATTGAATCGAAATTTTGTTCTAGTTATTGTGTGCCGAATTTCATTTCAAAGCGTGTGCGTTGTGAACGAGTTCAAAGCAAAATGTAGTCTGGACACGTTTTCTATTGGATCGATTTTATGAAAATGCCGTCGTAGTCGATATCAGTCAAGGATGTAAGGAATATGGGTAGAAAAGGGTACAGTGTACTATGGGTCAAAACTCTTCTATCAAGTTCTTGTTTTTGGAGTTATAAGCCTTTTAAACATCATATATTAAAGTCGAAAATAATATGCTTTCATAGGGATAATTCTTTACAAAAAAAAATTCAATCCAGATTTCTAGATTTGTGTAGAAAATTATTATTGAATTAATATTTTTAAAAAAATCTATATCACTGGAAGCCTGTTATTTTCACCTTAATTCGTAATATTATTGTTCGAATAAAAGACACAAATCGATATTTGGGGAAGAGCGAATGCTCGAAGCATATTGTATATTTATAATTATATGTAATTCTGCTGTCCTAAAAGCTTATGTCCATAGTTCATCTAAAATACCCATTCGAAAAGTCAAGCATCAGTATCACTATAAAAGGAAGTTCCAAAAATGCAATATAACAGCGGTATGGTAGATTAAACTGGCGAAACCGCTGGGAAGGTTCACCACTGATGAGCCAGGCCCTCCCTTTAATTTTTCCATTGCAGTAAGGGCAGTAGAAATTGTTTTATTATAAAAAGAATATTACGTGTCTGAAATAGGTTCGTAATTTGATACAAAATATTATTTCATTGAATTGAGACATCATATATATGTATATATCAAGTAATATTAATATCCTTCTTTCATTTAATTAAAAATGAGTTTATATATCCTGAACAAGTTACTATTGTTGAAAATGTTCACTATTATTCTGAAAAATATTCATCGCATTCATTTTAATACTACAATGACGCTAATATATTTAATTCTGAGCAAATCAGTTTTGTATAACCTCTTTTAATATAAAAATCTCTGATTTAATAATCGTTTAAAATAATTTTATTTGATAAAGATATCTCTCGAATCTTGTAAACTCATTAAAAGAAATGTTTAATGTTATTATTAGTGTATTTATTGTATTTTCCAGTAGAGAAGAGTTATATGATAGGTATACGGATCTTGTGGAGCCATCTCAAAATAAAATACCAATCAAATTTGACTTACATACCTTTGGTCTTTATCCTGATGGTTTAATGGTTTTCTTATTCCATACTTCTTTATCTCGATTTCAAATAGAAATATATTGATGCTTAAAACCGATACTTTTCCGATAATTTAATTGTTAAACGACACTTGAAGTTACACCGCATTAGTTTATTTTCAATGAAAAATCAAAATTTTATTTCAAGGTGTGAAATTTTGACTATTTCTAACCTGTTTTGGATGAGGTATGAAAGGGTGAATTATGAAGAGTAATGATGAACGGAAAAATAAAAGTGTTCAGGGATGGGAATCGAACCCACAATGTTCCGCTTACCGGGCAGATGCCATGTCCACTATGCCGTGTAACTTCAAGTGTCATTTTGCAATCATAGGCCGCAGTGTATTATATGTAATTTAATTGTTATTACAAAGGTCAAATAAAGAATTTGTTTGCAAATATCTACTGGACGTTGATCCTAGAACGTCAGTATCCGTAGAACCTTGCAAAGCTAGTTTTGCACATTTTGAGTAAAGACAGTCTTACGTGGAGGACGAGTTCGCGAATGCCTCTGTCATGGCCTTTCATTTTCTTTGAGAAAGGTTTAATCATTTAGGATATGTGATATTAATATAATTGTAAAACGACACTTGGAGTTTCTTTTCAAACGAAAAATCAAATTTTTATATCAAGATAAAATATCGACTATTTTTAACCTTTTTGGATGAGGTATGAAAGGGTGAATTATGAAGAGTAATGACGAACGGAAAAATAAAAGTATCCAGGGATGGGAATCGAACCCACAATGTTCCGCTTACCGGGCAGATGCCATGTCCACTAGGCTACCCTTGACGTATTTTTCCGTTCGTAAATGATTCATAAGTAACTTATAATGCAATATAATACACTGCGGCCTGTGATTGTAAAACGACACTTGAAGTTACGCCGCATGAGTTTCTTTTCAAACGAAAAATCAAATTTTTATATCGAGATAAAATATCGACTATTTTTAACCTTTTTGGATGAGGTATGAAAGGGTGAATTATGAAGAGTAATGACGAACGGAAAAATAAAAGTGTCCAGGGATGGGAATCGAAACCACAATGTTCCGCTTACCGGGCAGATGCCATGTCCACTAGGCTACCCTGGACGTATTTTTCCGTTCGTAAATGATACATTTTTATATTTCCCGTGCGCCATTACTCTTCATATTTTCACCCTCTCATACTTCATTCAAAAAGTTAGAAATAGTAAATATTTCTCTTTAAAATAAATATTGATTTTTCATAGAAAAGTAACTTATGCGGTATAATTATAAGTATTGTTTATAATCACACGCCGCAGTCCTTTATAATGTATTATAAGTTACTTTAAGTATTATTTACGAACGGAGAAATAACGTCCAGGGTAGCCTAGTGGACATGGCACCTGCCCGGTAAGCAGAAGGTTGTGGGTTCGATTCCCGCCCCTGGACACTTTTATTTTTCCCGTTCGCCATTACTCTTCATATTTTCACCCTCTCATACTTCATTCAAAAAGTTAGAAATAGTAAATATTTCTCTTTAAAATAAATATTGATTTTTCATAGAAAAGAAACTTATGCGGTATAATTTCAAGTATTGTTTATAATCACACGCCGCAGTCCTTTATAATGTTTTATAAGTTACTTTAAGTATTATTTACGAACGGAGAAATAACGTCCAGGGTAGCCTAGTGGACATGGCACCTGCCCGGTAAGCAGAAGGTTGTGGGTTCGATTCCCGCCCCTGGACACTTTTATTTTTCCCGTTCGCCATTACTCTTCATATTTTCACCCTCTCATACTTCATTCAAAAAGTTAGAAATAGTAAATATTTCTCTTTAAAATAAATATTGATTTTTCATAGAAAAGAAACTTATGCGGTATAATTTCAAGTATTGTTTATAATCACACGCCGCAGTCCTTTATAATGTTTTATAAGTTACTTCAAGTATTATTTACGAACGGAGAAATAACGTCCAGGGTAGCCTAGTGGACATGGCACCTGCCCGGTAAGCAGAAGGTTGTGGGTTCGATTCCCGCCCCTGGACACTTTTATTTTTCCGTTCGTCATTACTCTTCATAATTCACCCTTTCATACCTCATCCAAAAAGGATAAAAATAGTCTATATTTTATCTTGATATAAAAATTTGATTTTTCGTTTGAAAAGAAACTCATGCGGCGTAACTTCAAGTGTCGTTTTGCAATCACAGGCCGCATTGTATTATATTGCATTATAAGTTACTTTATGTATCATTTCCGAACGGAAAAATACGTCCAGGGTAGCCTACTGGACATGGCATCTGCCCAGTAAGCGGAACATTGTGGGTTCGATTCCCATCCCTGGACACTTTTATTTTTCCGTTCGTCATTACTCTTCATAATTCACCCTTTCATACCTCATCCAAAAAGGTTAAAAATAGTCGATATTTTATCTTGATATAAAAATTTGATTTTTCGTTTGAAAAGAAACTCGTGCGGCGTAACTTCAAGTGTCGTTTTACAATCACAGGCCGCGTTGTATTATATTATATTAATATAATCCCTTTGGAAAAATACAAATAAAAGTCAATTATAATTATCTGAGGGAAGAGTTTATTTTATATATAACGGCAATACAAGTTTTCAACAGTCCTTCGCCACGTATAACTACGCTACCTGTCGAAGGGCTGCTGAACCCGAAAATTTGTATTGCCGTTATATATAAAAGAAACTCCTCCCTCAGATAATTGACTTTTATTTATAATTGAGTATATGTATACGCCTTGACCTTATCTTTGATGAAAATTCCGTTTCCAGAAGGGTCATCAATGCAATGCTTTGAATAGAGGTACAGTTTCAACGCGGCTTTATTTCTCAGCAATCATTTTTTAAAGATGCTAAGTAGGGTTCTCGACAAAGGAATTTTGATATGCCAAGAATATTTGAAAACTTGCAATTGTGTTACTGAACAATTTTACAAAGTGTTCTTGAATTGTAGTTGCAGCGATATTTATTGATAGCTACACAGTCAGTGTTATATAAAAACTAACAAATTTGAATGTAAATATATATAGAAGCAGTCATTTCCTGTTCCAAAATCACTTTATTAGGTGCCGCTTAACAAGAGCAACCTAGTTTATGATAATTGCAACAATTACTAATATGTGAATGTTATTCACATATTAAACAAAATTTTAACGGCGAGTTCAATCCCGGTACATGACTGTCGGGAATTGAGGGTGTTACCCACTCGTCCACCGACGAGTCATCTCGTCATTAGATACACATATATTAACTTTTCATAAATCAGTGAATTGAATCATCATTAAAATATTATAAATGCGTAAAGATAGCAAGTGTATTGGACCAAGTTGTAGATATGAGTTGTAGATACACCCATACCTCGCTTTGCGTCGGGGTTACGTTCCAAAAAAACACGACGCAAATTGAAACGACGCAAAGTTAGGCGCAATCAAAAACAAGGGTGTTGCCATATTTTAGGGAAATAATTCAAAAAAAAATTAAAGACTCGAATCCAAAATAACGCAACTTCGAAAATCTAACGACGCACATTGAAAATCAGTAAAAATTAAGCAGCGACACAACTTCCAAAAAACGGCAAAACGAAACGACGCAAAGCGAGGTATTGGCGTATATGTAAATTTTAAAATAGTATTTATCAAACTTCAGATATTGATTTTCAAAAAAATGTATCGGGTATATTTTCTTAGTAATATTATTGAAGTCGAAAAGGGGAATATAATAATATTTCAAATAATCGTAGAGTTAGGTTTAATTAATGTTTTTTTAAATATATTTTATTTAATTATAGAGCATTATCACGCTCAATTCAATGATAGATAAATTTATAAATGCTATATACTTGGGAGTAACAAAGTTATACAATTTAAGTTTAATTTTTTATAAAAGAAATAAGGTGGGCGGAAAAAGAGGGGCCTGCACTTAGCGTGCAGCTCTTAAAGCTCTGTGAATCGACCAAAAAAGTCTGAAGCTTGTAAAAAGTTACAAGCAGGGGGACAAGTTTGATGCAGTCGTAAACCCTAACCTAACCTGCATTTCCCTTTAATCGCCAATCAAACCCGCGCATTGTTCCATTTAAACCCGGGATTAAATGGCAAATTCTAATCGAAGTTCTTGGACATGTTTTTCCTATTAAACAATGGTATTAGAACCTAAAGAGTTATTATATATTTGGAATAAAATATCATTCTTTTGAAATATATTTTTGTGAAAGACAAGCCTTTAAATGCAACATTTATGTGTGAATTTCAATTTTTAAACTTACAGAAGTTATTTTTCTTATATATATCGTTTTTGAAAAGACAAATTTAATTACAATAATGTGTTTTGTTTTTTAGAATTGATGTTGAGATTGATAACAAAATTTTAATATAGAAAAATAAGCGAGCCATCATTAAATTTCATATAAAAATTGGAATATAAATGTTTAAAATAACTATAATATCGGAGTTTACTGGCGTTATACCACTGGCGTTTATTTTTATTGATACAAAAGTATAAGGTTTGGTCATATTTACCCATGATCAATCGAAACGTGGTGGTCAAAAGCTTTTTTCTTTTTGGGATAATTCTTTCTAATCATTCCTAGTACGGCGCAATATAATCATGATGGTTAGTAGCTAACGACTTATTTTGTTCTAAATTATAATCATGTCTACTTAAATAGAAAGCAATTCGTCTGTTGCACTTACAAATAGTTTATTGGAGAAATTCTTTATATTCATGAAAAAGTGCCCAAAGAAGGATTTGATCCCTGGTCGTATCGCTGTCGGAATTCGCAGGTTTATACCACTTGTTCCACAACTTATCATTAAATAAAATACTATTTAAGCTTTGTTAATATAAAAGTTCATATTAGAATAGTACCTTATTTACACTTTAAACCTAAAATATGAGTTCTTTATAGATTGGTATATATATTAATAAATAGGTAGGAAATATATATATATCGTATATTTTAAACTGTATTAAATGGAACACCGTTTCTGTTTGCTGCCACCCCCATATTTTGTATATATGCTATATCTTTATTAATAATACCCGGTAAACCCTATTTATATGTAACACTAAAAATGTTGACGTGAAAATAAAAATCCATAGAGCGGTCAGCTGGTTGCAGCAGGGACAGAGGGGTGGAAAAAGGCAACGCCCAGCCCATGTGGGGTCCCGAGGGACATTCTTATAGAGACCCCGCAAAACAGGACAAGTTTTAGCAGGGGGTCAGCAGATGTTCTAGGGGGTGTTTCTCAGCAGTCCGCTTCAGGCTGGCTCTCACAGACAGTCTCTCCTTCCATAAGCATCCAAGTTAGTGTCATGGCCTCTGCC